ACCGGAACAAAACGGCCTTTCGGAAAGGATGAATAGGACACTAGTCGAAAAAGCTAGATGTCTTCTTTTCGAGACTGATCTTGACAAAAGATTCTGGACAGAAGCTGTTGGCACAGCAGTATATTTAAATAACCGGTCAGTAGCTTCAGCAAAAAGCCAGATTTAAGTAATGGGAAAATATTTGGCAGCCCTGTGATAGTCCATATTCCCAAAGAAAAAAGACAAAAATGGGACTGAGAGTCAGAGAAGATGATACTTGTGGGTTTTTGTAGAAACATAAAAGGTTACAGGTTGTATAATCCCAAAAATGGATCTATTATCGCTAGTAGACTAGTAGAGATGTCATCATAATGGAAAATACTGAGGAAAATGCCAAGAAATTTAGTCAGAATATGGTTTAAGATGACACAGAAATAGAGCAGACCGAACAAGAAGAAAATCTCACAGAAAACACTGTTGTTCAGTTCGAGGTATCAGCTGATCAGTCAGAAGTGCATCAAGATTTTCAAGATACAAGTGATGAAGAATTCGTATATAAGGGTGAACCAGTTGTGACTGAAAAAGTAAGAAGATCTGTGACGGAACTAGCTATTGCCCCTTTTTAGGCTTTAGTCAAACCGCCCAGGGATGCCAAAAGTTTTTACTTTGACTGACTGTAAAAATTAACCACTAGGTATTGGATCATTTAAGCCTCGTATTGGGTTAGGGGCGCCTTGATTCTCATTTATACAAATAAAACGCTAAAATAGAATAATTATCAATTTAAATAATAAATAAAAGTAATTCGGTATAGATCAATCAAATCCTATCTAAAAATTCCTAATTGGACGTCCAGTCGAACTATAAATTTTATACTAAGTTAAATGTTAAGTGAACGAAAACACAAATTAACTAATTGAATGCACAACATAAATAATTCGTCAACTTTAATCAGTTCACTGTACTAATCACAAAATGGTTATTGATCCTTGAGTTATTTTATTTATTGAGAGTTAAGAATTTAAGCACTTTTCTGCGGAAGTCTTTAAACAATATGTGCAAGAAAAGTCTTTATATGCTCAGTTTCTATATACAAATGTACAAATGTTAATTTCACGAGTGTGAAACCAAATTTCTGCATTAAACGTTAGAAGACACTTCGAATTATAGATCATTTCAAGCGAATTACTAATATGTATTTATTGTTCGACTGTTAGAGAAATTGTAACGGTCTTACTTGCTTAATCCGGTTCATGCAGATAAATCCACAAGGCGATTATTTATCCATTTATCACTATTCGCACTGGCAGCCAGGGAATTTTCCACTGAGATGAAAAGAAAACACAACGATATACAGGCGTGTTGGAGCCCGGCGAGAGTGAGAGAGAGAACCAAAAACAGGCGTAGGAGAGAATTTTGCTCGTCCGAGATGATTTACAACAATTGGGGGTTAATTACATGAATTGTAATCAATAATATAGACCATGTCAGGCCTTGAGACACAGAGAGTAGTATTTTTACTATAAATCGCGCGTACTAACGGGGGTTTTTGGGGGTTTTGCTCCTGGAGAGCATTCAGAGGGCGCGAGAGTGCGAACTCTTCGCTTATTCTAATAGTACCGAAGAATCTGTGTTGACTAGACTCTGCCAGGGGAGCAGGTCGCAAAAATCCAGAAAACAATGTGGCGGCTGACCAATCACAGCAGAAGAAACCTGTAATTTTATTGGTTCAAAGGGTTGTTGTTGCAATAGTATCTATTTTTAATATATTATTTGTATGGTAAATAATAGAAATTGAGATATATTTATTCAGAAATAATAAAATTTAAACTTGTTGTGGGTTACTTCCGCAACAAAAACATTATAAATGTCTAGATATGAGGTACTTCTAGTGTAGAATAATATTTGTGCTAGTACCTACTGCTAGTGGGAGTGTTAAAGTTTAAGTTCAAATATTATTATATTTGCATTATTAATATAGCCAACGCCATCTGTCATCATTAACACGTAAGTTGTTATTGAGAAATTAATGTATGCCTTGTTTTTCTTTTATTGTGATTCTTGTTTCTTTTTCAAGTCTTGCTTTTCGATCAATAATGAATAAATTTAGTCTGTGCTGAAAACTCATACTGCCTTTTTCATTTTTGATAATGTAATGTGGTTACGCACAGACAACTCCTGAAAATGTGATTGCAGAGGAATCTGGAAAAGGAGAAGGAAGAATTGACATATTGTGATGTAGATTTGAAAACCATAATTGAAAACTTCTTGTTCCTTGATTAATGGATTATAAAGTAAAACATTCCAGTGCAGAATATACCTCTACTCCTTTTAAAAAGGCAAAGACAGTGTGGACAGAATTAGATGTTTGTTTTCCAAAATTATAACTTTATGTGTATCCAAATAATCTTTAGACTTATGATAATTATCTTCAATATTTAACTAATTTGATTAACTTAGAAGACAGACTGACGAAGGCAGCTTCCAGCTCCCCGATATTAAGACCTGATCTTTCCGATCTGCTTTTTAGTACTCTGACTCGGATGATGAAAAATATCACCCTTGAAGACTTCACGTCCAGAGAGACTACCTCCTGTCAACTAGCTAGGAAGCTACCCTAATGAAGTTGCAGCAAGAACGTACTTGGACATGCCAAGGAAAAACCTTCGTTTCGGCACAGGGTCTCTGACAGGCTACTGCCAGCTAAGAAAACATCTCCATTCAATAGGATTAGGCGAGTCACCCCTGTGCAGGGATTGTGAACAGGCATTCTTCTTTGAAGCCTGATGCACGTCTTTAGATGCAGTTTTTTCAGGACTTCTCAACTTTCAATGGACCTCTTTTTCTTTTCCGTATTTTTGCCATGCTTAGTTTTCTGATTGATATTTCGAAGTCCGCTTTCTTGGGTGATGAAGTTTGAGTGTTAGGATTCAGAGAGATTACAAAGTCACTCTCTTTGTTCATATCACTTTACTGAGATTCAGCTTGCCAGGTTGGTTGAAGAAGCCTCTCGTGACCTTCTGCGCCGCTTCTAAACGGGTGTTGTGCTGCTGGATGTCGAGAAAGCCTTTGATCGTGTCAGGCATGCTCATGCTGGTCTTATAGTCAAGCTTCATAACAAATATTTTCTGCCATCATCTCTTGTCAAAATTTTCATTAATTTCCTCGAAGCCAGAAGTTTCCATGTCGAACTCAACACAAATACCTTCTCAAATGTCAGACCTATAGAAGCAGAAGTTCTTCAAGGTTCTGTCCTGGCTCCGCTGCTCTATAATATTTACACTACACGGCTGACATCCCCAATAATCCTCATACTAAAATGTCCATTTACACTTGTATTTACACTTCACAAAAGTACTCACATCACATACCATAGACGACTACAAAATCATCTTGACTCCATAATTGACTGGGCAAAATTTTGGAAAACTAAACATAACAGACATGAGAGCCTGATACTGGACGATTCAGAAATAACATGGACTAATCAAACTTTCTTGGATTCCCCACATTCATCATAAATTAAATAAATGTAACAGATTAGCCGGATTGCTTCACCCACTACTTAACAAGAACAGTTAACTGACTCTCCAAAACAAACTCAGATCTTCACTACTTTACGGTGGACCAGTTTTCTCACAGACATCACGGCAAAATAAAAAAAAACTGCAGGTGTTTCAAAACAAGGTAATCTGTAGGGTGGTCGGCGCTCCGTGGTATGTTCGAAATGCGGACTTACATACGGAAGCGTTGACACAATCCAGGAATACCTCGTTGAGAAACATACTCGGTTTCTTGACACAGTTACTAACCATACTAATGACATTATTAAACACTTATTCGACGATAACTTTACTATTAACCCTGACAGAACTACTCTCAGAAATCTAAAGGTGGCGGAATGAAATCCCCTTCCTTCCTTTCCCATCTTTTCCTATTCTATCTACCCTCTCCCTGAACTAGAAGTTAACTTTAAACACAACATAAGTAGCAATTAGACTCATCCATTACAGCGTAAGAGTGCTTCGCACTAACGCTATGATAAACTCATCATTATTAAAGTTGCCGACCGAATCTACTGCCTGCATTGAAAAATAAGGTTGGTTTGGTTGATCTTTTAAGAAAAAACACTTTTGTGTGTATGTGGACTGTGAACACTGATGCGAATCAGATCGAACTATGTAACGGCTTATTCTTGACTAATTCCCGATTTTTTCGGTAGATTTGATGATGTGCATATGAATTTCTCTTGTCATTTCCCAAATTTATAGGTAATAATGACTGCAATGTCTATCCATTATGAGAAACACTGATAAATTCTTCAGTTGACTCCACGAAATGAATCGAATCAAGAGATTTAATCATTTGCTGAATAGATTTCGCTGGATCTAGACACTCAGGTATAACGGTGTGATCCCCAAATAAATGTCATTACCCCAAATATAAAATAGCTTCTTCAGAAGTCAGCAGAGATAAGATTGCCTAAGAAATAATTAAATAGGTATTCGAAAATTACTTATATCGAGCTGTTGAGAATAGTGAACTAAATGAATGCGACCATTGACGAGATATAAGCTGCTTACGGGAACACTGATCTAGGATCAGTTCGATCAGTATCATAGCTGTTCAAGGATTAGTAAACTATCTAGGTGGAGCTAGTTCAGTTTCCGAACCGATGGAGCCGCAGATGAATCTTGCCAAATGACACCTCCCAACTATTTTAACCTCAACAAACATTATTTTGATTTTCCGATTTTAATTTCAATCTCAAGTTCTCAAATTTCCATTTTTTTTGGCTTGAACAACCCGATCACTTTCCATACAAGAATGAACTGATCCTAGATCCCTTTCCGAACGTCGAGATTGGTGATTCTTGTGATCGGGTTAACCCGATCATAGTTTCCATAAGCAGCTATGATATCCAGTATCCTAACTACCGACGAACTGAACTAAATCTATCCAAATAGCCTTTTTCCAAGGTTTATAAATATTTTATGATTAAGATTATTAAGTTTGCTTACCATTTTCACAAGGAGGATTCTCACAAACGATTTTCGCTATGCTGCAATTCTTCCCTTGCCAACCTTCAGGACAATGACAATAGTAGTCGTTCTGTGCTTTAAAACACGGAGCACCATTCTGGCACGGATCCGGATTGCAATGGTCGTAGTCGTTCTGTGAAAAAAAAAAAAAGTTATCTACTCATTAAATTTGTTCCTAATTTGTAGCTTGTAGCTTTCTAAGACAAACGAAACAAGTAGATTTATGACCTCTGTTACTTTTTGTGACCCAAATTCGGTATTTAGCATAATTGGATCATTTAACTTTGCTACGTTTACTTTAAATACGAAACCCATAAAAATCAACTGGGTGATTAATACTCGCTCTATTGGTGAATGTTGCCTTTAAAACCGATTATAAATATGTAACCAAAGCTGAAATGGTAGTATCACCATTTTTTTTTATTGCACGCTATTTATTTTCTTGTCGTTTAACAGGTAGAATTAAGTATCCCAGCTTTCGTTTTAATTTTATATCACTCACGCATACACAGCAAGTCTTTTTTTTGTGTCTGTGTGGGTTGTTTTCTAGTAGAAATCAAAGAATTTCTCACATATTTGCTTGCTGATAAATGTGATTAAATCAAAATGTTACACAAGCCGACAGAGATTTATCTATTTGATATTGAATAGATAAAAGCTACGCCTATTAATAAATAGATTATTAATTACTTAACCTTCGAAAGCCTTTTTAATTTTTCCTGAATTCTGAAACAAAGTTCATTAAAACAAACCACGGTGAAATTATAACAAACGCTTCCCATAGTTGTTAATAACTGGTCAAGATATTAAAGATAATCAGCTGCATTTACGTGAGTGCTTTTCTTGAGGCAAAACGATTTAAGACGCTAATGTATACGCGCCGGAGCGGCTGACTGCCCATGGCGACATTTAACCAGGTAATTGAGCACGGAACATGAAAGCACAAACAAAACAAATGCGTATGGAAGCTGGACTGGGGCTGCTACTTGCGCTTTGCCTCTTGACTGACAAAGCGATTTTTTATTGGTCGCTAATTACCTACCCATCAATTAGTTTTTAATTTATCGGACGCGTCACAACAAATAATGATGGGATGATTGGAATTTTTATGTTTATCCATTTTTATTTACATGAAATTGTATTTGTACTAATGAATATGGAACGTTAGATATGGCAGGATGTGAAGTGAAGTAGGTATGTTTAGTTAGGTGAGGTAAAATATCATATCGAAATCTGAGATTCAGATGATCGTCGTTGTTAAAAGACCAATAGAAAAAGAAGGTTAGGTTACAAGAACATTCAATAGTCTATCCTAGGAAGATGATAGTTATTTCAAGGCCGCTGTACATGATTGCCCCAACTCTGGATGGAATACAAAAACAAGCTTTTCAAGTAACACCAAAATCTGATCCTAAATCAAAAACTCCATTGAAATTATCATCAAAAATAAGAAATACAGAGTCGCATACTGCACATGCCTGAGATCACTTTACCTTAGAAGCTTGCAACTTTAGAAAGGAGAGGATTGTCTACGACTTCCATGTCGGCGACATCTGCGGCCATACCACTCCCACCTATGAACAGCTGCCAGGATCTCAAATCAATTAATATTGATGTTATGACACATTAATAAGAAAGAGGGTTTGTTCTATAAATTGAAAACCTTCTTCCGTATCTAGCTTTCCATCTACAATAATTATTTTCGCAATGAATCTGTACGTTGAACCAAAATTTATTTAATTATTGTATTTACTTAAATTTTTGGATCAGTGTTGTAAATGCAATGCGACTTTTATCACAATTAATGACTCCATTTCTATTATCATGAACCGCAACATAGACAGACTTATCAAACTGGACCAAGACGGACTGTATACACGACCAGCAAAAGACAAATTGTCCGTTATAAGTTGTACCTTCTAGGGGCCGAAGTTCGAAGCATGTTAAACATTCATTTAAGCCGAGTCGTGTTTTAAAGATCTGAATTTAACTGATTGTTCTTTGCTCTCGCGTTGCTAATTCCAACAATGTTCGAAAATCCGGAAATGCTCTTCGGCCGGTACGAGTAACGAGCTCGCACGCATACATGCGCCTTACCAGTACGTCGTGACCGAGATGTCGATAGGTGAAACGCAATAGCAGATTTTAAATTCAAATCAAAAGTATCGCGGTGTATTGGTCGGGACAATGGCTATAGCTATTTGTATACCTTTCAGTAGTAATAAAACATAAAAAAGTTTCACAATAGACAGACAGACGTGCACCAACTTATACAATATAAAATTATACCTATAGGACGAATCTTGACTTCGATTTGGAATGACTTACAAAATTACCACTCGGAATTGGTAGGTTAAGGTACCTACTAGCAGCGGACTACTTTCAGAATTCAGGTCAGGTATAATCAAAAACTAATGAATAAAGAACCAACCAAATCACGAATTCGTAATGAAAGTAATCATGTAAAAAACTATCTAACAAAAACATGATGTATCTCTCGCTTTGTAATTAAGCTGTTTTAAAATTGCTGATGGTTGGTCCGTTAACGTTAAAAGAATGTAGAGTGTTTGGGTGGTAAAAAAAATACCCCGTATCTTATTAGCAAGTCTCTCATATTATAACAAAGGTCACAACCGCCCGTATGGTCATTCCCAATGATTTACGATATAACACGAAGTAAATCTATTAAAATACCTTTAAAGATTACTTACCTCACATTCGTGGCCTGTAATCCCGACCGGACATATACATCTGTAACCGTTGACTTGGTCTACGCATTCTCCGCCATTTTTGCAAGGATTCGACGCGCATTCGTCGATGTCGGTATGGCAGTCCCTTCCTGTAATCAAGAAATAGTTTTCGCTACATTATTTCTGTTTTTGCTTTTTTAAATAGGATCAATTATGTATTTCATCCTAGTCAATCGTTAAACACGTGCATTCAGACAGACATACCGGTCTAAACTTTATTTCCTGAAAATGTTGCATTTGTAGATTTAACCTGAAAAAAAGATACACAAGAGTACAAAAGGCAAACGGTATTTATTCTCTCCTCGGCGGTTGGTTTTTTATTCAATCGACGAAAAAGCAAACAAAAAAAAACTGTTGCAGAGAATGATGTGCATGCAAAATAAAGATTTATGCTTCACGATTTCACGTAAACCTGATATAATTATGGACACTCCTTTCGACTACCACATATTTTTCCGTTCTCTATGCATAGCCGCTTGCCTGCCATTTAATAATCGTCATACTCTCACGAAATCTTTTGGTTAACGGGTTCTCTTAAAATTTTAGTTTATCATCTTTTTGAGCTTTCTTTGCCGATCGTGAATTTTTATGGAAAACCTAATTAATTGGCAGTTTTCTATTTTTGACATAACCTTAATTTAAATTATTATAATTTGTAAACAATTAAAATAATTCTAGTGGATTATTATCCATTCTCTTTTATTCCACGTGATTTTTCATTGTAAAGTGAACATGATCTTTTGGGTGTACTCGTCTGATTGATTTCTAGAACGTTCTTTTTTCTCGACAGTAGTCTAGCAGGCAAGTCCTTTTTATTTTTAATAATTTTTGCTCTATATTTTTGGATTCTCCCTCATAGATTTTTCAATATATTTTGCTATCAATGCATATTATCATATCATTATTAAGTTTTTACCTGATAAATCTTATCTTATCTATTCTTGAAATATAAATATTATATTATTTTAATTTTTTATCTAATTGTGGGCTTCCATTTTGTGCGATTGGTAGTGCCACGTTTATCTGAGGTAAGTCAATTCAGATTTTTCGACTAATAAATAGGTACTGCTGCTCTGGTTTTCAGAATCAATTGTTAGTGTGGGAATATTGGACCATTTGCTCTAAATAGAGTTAGTAAAAACCAAATTTGTGTGTCCATCCCTATCAACTCTTTATTGAATTCAGCGCAGCAGCGGCCTGAATAGCCATTTTCTGTTTGACTCCCTCAGTTATTATCTTGACTGAAGGGTGTAATTTTCTAATAGAAATCCAGACAGGTCAAAATTCGGTTGAAAAGTTTTAATTAGAACATCTCAAGAATTTTGACATATTCTGGATTTGAATAATTTCAACCCCAGGTTTATTTTGTAGTATCTATAGTAGCTACCTTAATTTTAGAGATGGGCAAAACTGCTATTTTCAAGCAGCAGTTACCGTTTTTTTAAAGTAGCAGTTATCAAATAGCTGCTTAAAAGAAGCAGTTTATCCGGAACAATGCTCGTGGGTATGGACACCATTGGTCTTTGGAGCACAGGAAGCATGGTGGAAGGCGAAGCGTGTGTTGCGTGCGTGCATGCATGCAAGCATGTTTTATTTACAAACGGCTGATCGGGTGCGAGTGCATTCTTTTTTATATACCAATTGATCCACCGATGAGCAGTCTATCTTTGTCTAGTTCATGGAAACACGAAACGACTCTCTCATAATGATAGATACTTCGAAGAAAAAAAGAAAGCGCCTCTCGCTAGTGCTTGGCCTGGCATTTTTCTAACATTCGAATCTAGTTCTAGCCCAAAACGACGAAGTTGAAGTTAGGTTAGCAGCTTTTTCCAAAATCGAGTAACAGTGATAAGCTGCTTCAGCAAAATAACTGTTGAAATATAGCAGCTTACGCGATAGCGACCCATCTCTACTTAATTTAAAAGAAAAATTTTGTCTATTTGGGGAAGAATCTAAGGATTTAATTTCTTATTGTTTTATCGTATATTGTTCATATTTTTGCCTGCTAGTGCTACTGTCAGAAAAGCAGCATTTTGCTCAATCATAACGAGCATTTTAATTTAATCTTGCTGTTATTATTTTAATGTTACTATCTTTTTTTTTATATTAAAATATCTTTTTTTTTTCAATTTGCAATAGCTGTTCGTACCTGATTCTGTTGGAAGGGAGTGTCTGTACAACAATAGTTTTATATTAAATTTCAATTTTAATTTCCTTTGCAAGACACTCACTTTTTGACAAAATTCAGAGATTTAATATTCCAAATATTGGTGAACCTGATACTTCCCTATTCTTTTCTGGGTACCTACTCGACATAAAGATCACTGTTTGGAGTCTGGATCAGCTGAAGTGACGTCACCCCAGCAATCTATCCTCTTTCCTGGATACAGGAAACAACACGAAGAGTTCCAGTTCACGAAAGTGAAACCCCAACACCCATTGAAGAGCTCCGGATTGGAAACGTACAAGGTATCAGATTCACCGGAAATACCAAGCTGTCAACACTAAAATTTTACCGAAAGTAACATTGACTCTTACTAGGTATATGTTACTATATAACATTGTAAATCAAATAAAATTATTGTTTGTTGGATTTTGAGTGGTTTTATTTGCACATAAAGGGACTACACGTTATCTTAATTTCCCCCCAGTATACTAGTGCTAGTCCTTGCATGTTAATATTGAATCTAAAAAAACAACAGCGCGCTTCGCGCGCTTTGTTATTAACCAGTACACTTATAATACATAAGTATTAAACGAACTATAACGAAACTGACCAAAAATATGCAAAATAACTCATCCACGTAATGCGTGCTAGTCCTTGTATTGTATGTTAATATTGAATTGTCAACCAGTCTTATAACCAGTAAAATAAACTGGTCATATCCGCCAAAAAAATGAAGCCATGAAAGATGTCACACGAGGGAATGTCGTTCTTTTCTGTAGCTCGCTGACATATGACGTTTTGGGAAGTTTTGTTATATTTTCCTACACAGGTTTTATCAATTGGAATACGTGTTGAAAGCAATTTCCGCCATTTAACGTAATGAGTGCGACAAAAACAGGTATCCCCTCTCCAGCAGCGCCACTAGGCTTCACGTTCCTCAATATTTGTGCGCAGTGCGCATTCCAGTTTTTGGTTATACTCCATTGGTCTCAGCTGACTGGTGAAATGTTCATTTTGCCAATTGACCTTTTGTTTGGACGCCATATTGCGGTGCGCGAACATAGTTGCCAAAAGAAGAAAACAAAAATGACTAGCGGGCTGTCAACATTAAAAACCAAAATAACTAAATGATTGATCCTCGCTATCCTTTTTGTTTGTTTACTTTCTCTCTCTGATTCTATAAACAATAAAGCCTTGTAGGTACTCATAACCGCGAAATTCGCTCTTTTTTGATGTTCGATTCACACATAAAACGTCAAATTGTCGAAACAATGTCAAAAAAAGAGCGTATTTCGCGGTTATGAGTACTAGGCTTGAGAAAGGAAACCGAAATTTGGTAAAGTGAATAGGTAGATATTTTATTATTTCTATTCTGCCCAATAGGTACAAATTGAAATTGATGGCTTTTCTTTTCAAAAACATTCGTAATAGGCGGCAAATTTAAATTTTAAATATAATTTATTCATTAGCTCTTGTTTTTAATGTTGACAGTACGCTAGTGATTTTTTTTTTCTACTTTTGGCACCTATGTTCGCGCACCGCAATATGGCGTCCAAACAAAAGGTCAATTGGCTTTCGATTAGTAATGTGTTTGGGATCATCGATTCCTAGTAGGCGCTTACGTTTTGCAACACGGATTGCTTACTCAATGTCATATTCTGTTTACTCAATCTCGTATTCTTCAAATTATGATTGTTCTATTGGATAATTTCTTGTTGTTGTTATCATTAGTCGTCAGCTATTGTCATTTTTCTCTGATTTTATTGTTGTGTGCAATTTTTGGTGTTTACGTAAAAGTTCTATCGATTAATTTTTGACGTTTCTCATTATTCTGACTTATCTCTAAATCCCTACCTTTAGGTCAGCTATTAATTTTATGTGGTACGGATTTTGACCTTAATATTATCAATTACTAAATTTATGGCACATTGAGTTGCCTTACGTTACGTTACGTTTCTCGCCGATTTATTCAAATTTTTACAACCATCCATGTGGAAAGTTTTGCTTTGCACGTTTTTTCCCACAGTGGAATCTGACCTTTTCTATTTAGTCATTAGTGACTGAAGACTAGAGTAAAGATCATCTCACTCACTCCAGGATTTCGAATCCAGAACTCGATCCAGATTTCCAGAGTATTTTCGAGGCAAACAAAACCCATTCCAACAGGTGAGACATAACCTAATAACCTTAAATTTTCTTTGCAAACTCGAGGAAAATTTTCTTTACTATTAAAGCTTTATCTGATTTTGTCTAATTTGATTAATTATTACCATAGATACATTATTATTCAATTTTCCTATTACAATAATTTTCAAGAGCTAGTTTTATCAAGTAAATTTGCTATTAAAGACTAATTAAGTTACATTTTAATTTCATTTTCTTATTCTGTCTATTTATAAAGTTCCTCGCTTGGCTATGGTTCAATTACAAATACAGTGTGTTTTTTACTCACGGCTACAGTAGTACATGTTGAATTGTAACCGAGATTGTAAGGCTGTTACTACCAGAGCTTACGCCTTTTATTTGGATGGTTCCCTATCTTGAATTTGAACCTTAAGATTGGTTTGACCACCTTAACCACAACCAGCCCCCAGGACTAACCTGTTTAATGGTACCTGCAGCTATACCATCTGGAACATTTTGGTATCGTACTAGCTTTAGTTATCCTACCTTTTTCATTTGTTTTCATTTAAAGTTACTGATTTATAGTATCTACATTTTGCCCTTATTTTGTGCGCCAAAGTGATCACTGCGGTATTTGAGCGAGTAATTCAGTACTTGTACCAATGTGACAAGGAAACAAAACAACAGTTATTATTATAGGTAGTTTAGCTAGACTTAACCTGATTCAGGTGGTTGATTATTCATAGCGACTTATTTTATAATTTACTAGCTGACCCGGCGAACTTCGTACCGCCTCTAAATTATTAAATACCTATTAAATGTTGTGTTAACGTTTCTAGTAGCTGAATTAAATTCAGGTGAAACCAGAGTCGCTTGCCAGTGAGTTCAGTGGCGCATTTTAAGAAGCACTCCAGAGCTGCTCTAGAGCGCCTCGGGCTGTTTATAGGCGTTCCAGTGTAGCAGAGTTTCGCGCAACTGAACTTTTTTTTCCGGGATAAAAAATAGCCTATATCACTTCCCTGTATAGCCGAATTCGATTGACCGGATTAGATCGATCTGGTTCAATGCAAACTAACCCAAACCAACCTGTCCACGGAATGCGTACTAGTCCTTGTATGTTAATATTGAATTTAGAAAAACAAAAACGCGCTTCACGTGCTTTGGTTTTAACCTGTACACTTATAACCAGTATTAAAGGGACTGTATCGAAACTAACCAAAAGTATGCAAACTAACCCAAACTAACCTGTTCACGTAATGCGTACTAGTCCTTCAAAGTTATTATTGAATTTAGAAAAACAAAAACGCGCTTTGCTTTTAACCAGTATTAAAGGAACTGTAACGAAACAACCAAAAATATGCAAACTAACCCATCCATCTAGTCCTTAGTAAGTGCAATATAAAAAACCGCTGACGAATTGATAAGAAAATAATGAGCATCAGGTAGGTATATGCCTTGTCCGTAACTAAAACGTACTTAAACCTTATTGTATTGTAGGAAACTAAGTATTCCGCACTTTTTTCCAATGGAAACCAATCTCAAAGTGATATCTTAATGAAATAACTGCGAAATAATTCCATAGAAGTTGGGACCTATAAGTTACTAGAACCCGCAGAAGAAAGGTGGCGGAACTGACGATAATACCACGTAAAATACTCTCTTGAACTGTCAGAAATGATCCCATCTAGAGCTATAAATGCAAGAACTACTCGACAGGCAGACGTGGCTCAATATCATCGAGTGCACCTGCATACGTCTAGAACATATCTATATCGAGATTTCTTCTTATAGAGAATTGCAAGCAAGTCTGTGAAACCAGCTTAAAAAAGCTCGTCTTTCCCAAAACTTTAAGAGGTATTCACAGACACCTTCCAACCACTGCTCCATCTGGTGTTAATCGAGTGCCATACAGGTTTTCCCTCAGGGGCCAGTGTATTCCATAAAAAAAGTGCTTGCGGAAGCAAACAAAATCAAATTTTCATACTAAAACAAAATGAGACAAAAATTGAAGAAACAAGGTAAACAAAGCTTTTATAGATTAAGCAAAAGTGGATGACGAGCTGCCAAAAGAAAAAAATGACAAAAGTTCTCCATAAGAATTGTACGTATTTGGTCATATTGATTAAATACATATAATATAAAATCTATAGATTCTTCCTGCTAAGGTCTCGTCGCGATTCTTTCAAAAAATCAAACATTCACACACATTAAGATCAAAGACAGTCCTCTTGTGGTATTTTATTGCCGCATTCTTATTCCACGCTTTGCACGAAGGGAATTCAAATATTGCCGTACGTATACAAGCATTTGATTTAAACGATCTATTTTATTCAACTAGATCGTCGAAGAGGACGCTGTATGTACACACGATGTCTCTTCGCTGATGTATATTGACGACTAGATGGATGTCTGATGCTGATGTTGCATTCCGGCGCATTTTTAAGATAACGTTGAGCCGATGTAGAGGAAGATATGTGTGTCTGTGGAGATTTTTTTTTTATAAAGAAAACAATGTTCTTACCAGTAAAACCAGGTTGACAAGCGCAATGGTAATCGTTGACCAAATCGATACAAGTAGCTCCGTGTTGGCACTGTCCCACGCAATCGTTGATATTTTGGTCGCAATTTTTGCCCATCCACCCTACTCTACATTTGCAATGGTAGTCACCAACTAAGTTGGTACAGGACATGGCGTTGATGCAAGGACTTTGAAGCTGGCACTCGTCAGCATCTAAAGAAACAGAACATAAGATTAGCGAATGGAAATATAAGTATGAACTAAAATTAAATGTTTGCTATAAACTAGTTAAATTCTTACCAAACTGACAAAGATCACCTTCCCAAGCCGTTGGACAGTCGCATCTAAAAGCGTCCTCCAAATCTACACAAGTGCCCCCATTCTGACACGGCGCAGATGCACATTCATCGATATCTGAAACAAATAAGCAATAATTAATAAACCAAAAGGACAATTATTGCTTAATGGTACATTCTTAACCTTTCGCTGTAATAAGTATAGGCAATAGGAATTCAAGACAAACATCCGAATGGTATGCCACCGCAGACCATATACATCATGCAAAGACAACTCCATCGTTGTAATCTATTCTGTAGCATCGGCGCAGGCAGGTCTTTCTCTTCGAAATTCTTGCCATACATATATCGGATGGATGATTTATCTTTTTCTTATGTCTGAATCGTTTACTTTCATTTTTTGTTTTTTTATATTCATTGCTCGGATTAGTTTTGTATAGGACCTAAAGTAGATATTGTACTGTACCAAATAAAAGGAATATGTGAAAGAAAATTCACAGAAATTGTTCGTGAACCAACAAGACATTGCTTCAGTACTATCCTTTTTGATAATAAATTGATCTTGCTGCCCACATGCAGTTAATAATTTTTTTATCGATAATTAAAAAAGTGGGCTTTACATTAGATAAAAAAAATCATCGATCTTTATAATGCCGAAAAAAAAAATCACGTATAGCATTTTGATGTCCAGTTGTTGTTTCGATAGGTGGACCACGCCTTCTAAGCCAACTATCTTACAGGAGACCTGTTATTTTCGGAGAAGTTAAATTAATTGAGTTTTGTTAAGGTGAAACACGTTTGTGTGCCGACTTTTATAATGAACCAACAGACGAACTTCTTCAGTAAATGGTAGTTGTCGACCGTTTTTTAAATTATTATTTATTAAATTATCTTGTTTTTCGGGGTCCGGAGGTGTAATTTTGAAAATTTAAAAAGCCCCGAACGCGGAGCTAGCGTACGAGCTTTTCTGCGAATGCAATTGGTTCAGAATTGGGTTTTAATAGAAGAGGTTTTTTGTTTTGACTGGGACTAAGCCATGTGATACAACAGGTCAAGCGTCTGGTATGAAATCCTTAATTATGTCGATTTCTATATGTCAATGGGGCAAATAATATAGATGAGCTTTATTTTTGTTTGATATCAATAAAGAAATTCTTGCCGTGAGAATAATTCTGCATATTTTGTATTTCTTCTGCGTATGCTATTTCTTTTATAATAACTTAATACAAGAAGAAAACCAATACAAAGATATTCAAATTATTATTACGGCGAATTTCCTGTTCAATTTGCCCATAAATATGTTAACTTATTTATAATGCGGAATTTTTCGCAGGATATAAGCAACTTAATACCGTCTGTATGTAAACTCTATGTAATAAGTATAACGTCTACATTCATACCTGAAGCTTTAACAAATGATGTTCATTAAAATCGTTGCTACTGTTCTCATGCTCTCCTATAAGAACATACTTCCTCGAATATTTGTCATTTTCCAGTCAAAACCGTGGCCGTACAAATTATCATTTCTGCTTCAATTTAAATTGGTTCAATCCCTCGGCATTGCAATCGGTTTTTGAATTACGCTTCATCTCGTTAAAATACCTTTTGGAGTTTTGGAATGGCCATTTTATCGAAAAAAAAAAGTAGTGTGTATGGACCCAGTGGTAAATACTGGTTGAAATAAGAATCGTTAGGGCACGGTAAAGGACAATTAAAAAAATTAGTCCACATCGATAAGTTAATAATGGTTATAATAAGGATTTTCTTTTTTTTAATTTTGCTACTATTCAAAATGTTTTTGATTGAAGGACCGATTGTCCCAGAAAAAATAACATAAAAATTTGAAATTGTATAAGAGCTTGGAAATAAAAGCTGAATCCAAAATTTTGTGAGAATTCACAAAGAGAGCCATGGTATATCTTCTTCTTAAATATATATGTCGTTTTAGAGCGTCTTTGTTCGTTGTTCGACACCTAATTTCCATCCCCTTCTATCATAGCAATCCTCTGATAAGAGATTTCTTTCACTTGTGGACTTTTGTATGGTCTTCTGCCATTCCAGTTTTGATGTTCGTATGTGTAGCGGAGAATATCTTTGTGTTTGAAAAATTCATTGTTTATTCTAAGATTGTGGGTCTCACAGAGATGTATGAGCCTTTGGCCATTATCATTAATTATTTCTTCTCAAAATGGTTCCACAATTGGGCTATTGTTCGTCCTTCCCGTTCTTCCATTGAAATCTTCTATCATTATGATTTCTCTATTTCTTCCAATATCTACTAGGATTTCATCAAATTTGTCAAAGAACTCCTGCTTAATGCCGACTCTAAGGCTATAATGGTGATGTTTAAGCCATCTTCTGGGAAGTGATTTCTAGATGAAATTGACAATATTGGAAAGACCCATCACGGCTCTCCTTGACATCCGTTTGATCGTTTCATTAGAATTCTAGTCTCAATTAAGCTGACATTCTCTCGCGACTTCTGCCTTTCCATAATTTTTATAATTATTCTCTCGATTCTGAGCTGCTTCTGCATATTCCATGCAGAGTCGTCGTACATGTTGATTTCTTCTAGTGTAGGCAAGAATTTAGGCTAAGTTAAACGTTGTTCAAGGCCCCATTACGTTGGGCGCCAATTTATGTAACGCTCTTTTGTCTAAACAAAAGAATGCTCATAATTGTGCTCGACTATACTCAGTGGTTCTTTAGCTTGGGGTGGTCCTTGGTGTTGGTACAGTAAAGAGAGGGCGCCACTAGTTTGTATAAAATTATTTTGATTATAAAAGAATAGCCAAACTAGACACTATTCAAATAATTAGCTATTATTCAAAAAGATAAATACAAAAATCTGAAAAGGTAAAATAAATCCAATAGCAATCTGACATTTAACCCCTTCAATAAAAACCCAAGTTTTGGAATTCTAAAAACAATAATTTATTAAACAAATGGCAATGTTGTTCATAAAAAGTTTGTTGACCGGATGGCAAACTTGTTCAATAATGTTCTATGTTCATTAACATTGAAGCAAATAAATTGTTTGAAGGTGACTATTGTCAGTATCGAATTTTATGAAAAAAATTATAAGCAGCTTACCGAAAGCAATATTTAATTTAAATAGGTATATAAAAAGATTGAAAGTTGGAAACAATTAGATAGATACCTTCGATGAGAATTACCTGAGTATAAATGTTAAATTCCAAATAAAATTAACCTTTAATTTTTGACTCGAAGTCAACCAAATCAATAACAAACAAATTAATCAATGAATGCAGAAAGGTAATGGGTAATCCCTAGACTGTTAGAAATATCAAAAACCTGCTAAATGAAATCAAGGGTTCACGGTTTCCGGAAGAGCTCTTACCTTCTTACCTTTAAAGTTCAAAATAGGTAAACATAAAACTTAAATTTGACTACCTAATGATTTTACATTGATTTGCCTTGTAAAACTACCACATTATTGATTTGAAATCAAAAGTTAAGTAAACCTTTTAAAGGTTAATGAACCCACAATATATTATATCGATCAGTACTCGATATAAAGGAAATAAATTTATAATAATTCTAATAATGCATACTTATTGGATAATAATTAAATATTGAGAAAACAATAATAAAAGTAAATATCTGATTATGATAATGATTAATTAATTAAATTATTAACTATATTCAAACTGTAGTTAGCTATTCTAGCCAAATACGGTAAACGAGTCGGTAATTGAATTTACAAAGATATTAATTAGCTAATGGAGCTAAACGATAGGGGGCGATAGAGAAAAGGTAGAAACAAGTTACGATAATCAAGATTTACAAAGATATTAATTAGCTAATAAAGCTAATCGATAGGGGGCGATAAACAAAAGGTAAAAGGGTATTACGGTAATTAAGATGGCACGGTTAAGACAACCATAGGTAAATAATTATACAAGCTTGGACGGAATCCTTGTAAAGCCTCGGAAGTTTTCACAAATTTGAGCTCTGGAGGTACCAAGCTGGCTGGAGGCAAGCAAATAATGGTTGGGGATCAACTTCTAACAGGACACAAACTTTCCTTGTAAAGGGGCTCAGATTCACTCTGAGTTTCTAGGACAGCGTGGTCTCAAATTCGTCAATTTTCACTCAGAAGTGCAGGCGCGGATTTTTCGTCATGCCCAAAGTGCCTGAACGAAAAAAAACTCACTTTCCAAAATCTTCACAAAAATTAACAATCGGTTGATTTTCCAGAAAACTTTCTAGTAGACACGATCAAGCACTCTTCTGGCTAGTCAATTTACAAAACTATGGGCTCGATGGCCAAAAATAAAGACAGAGTTTTAAGATTTTTAAGATTAAAAATCTGGACGACCGTTTCGGTTCCAAGACAAAAGAGAAAAGGCCAAGTCAAAAGTACCCAAATTGGTTCTGTCCTTTCTTTCTTCGTCTGCCAAGCCTGTCGAAATTATAAAAATGACACCGCTACAGGTTTCTCGGAAATAATAGAATTCTCGATTCAATGATATTAGGTTAGGAAAACTGGTTGGAAGAATCATAGATGTCGCTAGGTGTACGAAATAGTACTTTTAAATAAGTCCAAAATCTATAAAAATAATTGAGAACAATAAATATATTCTTGTGACATTTCAAATGTTACAAACATTGTTCTGGATTATGGTTTGGAGTACCATCTTGAATTATTCCTATTTGGAAGTCTTCTGCCACATTCCGAATAACAGCCAACTTCGATACTTCTGGTTGTTCACGTCCGATGACGGTGACTTTTAGTTAGTCTATCTCTGTTCGCATTCCTGATGTTGGAGTTTCAAGCTGGAGATTTGCTGTTCAGATCTCCTAATGATGATGATGGGATACCTACTAGATTCTGGATGTCTTTTTCTACAATTATTTTATCTTTGGATTTTAAGTAAGTCGAAGATGTTTTCATCTTTCCCTTGACTGTTTCAACTATAACAGTTACAGCCTCGACTTCATTTTCTTCATGGATTCCCTCTATTCATTTTTTAAGCAGTACTGCTTCTTCTGCCTTGGCACCAGCGTGTGTTCTTCTAACTCTAATAGCTCTTGGACCTTAATTTTCTGAGAACGAAGTCCCCTGACGTTTCAGGAGATAGTCTTTAGAGAGAT